TCACAACTGCTGACGTTCGAACATATCCGGAACAAGTGCTTCACTGACGAGTTTTGTTCGAACCACAACGCTATAAATGCTTCACCCACGTACTACAAATGCAAATAATCGCCAACCGAACTTAAACATCTAACCTAACCTAACCTATGCCTATATATGCACAATATGCTAATATATTATAATATTATTTTATACTTGCGAAAATTCCCGTTTTGAATGAACAGCATATTAACATTTATGAATGCGTCTGTGGGGTCGACCGCTGAATGTAATGGACTTGAGTCGAGGACGGGTTGGCAAATGCTTCACCCACGTACTACAAATACAAATAATCGCAAACCCTAAACACCTAACCAAACGCAACCTATGCCTATATATGCACAATATGATAATATATTATAATACTAATTTATATTTGAGAAAATTCCTGCTTTTAATGAACAGCATGTTCATTATGAATGAGTCTGTGGGGTCGACCGCTGGATGTATGGGACTTGAGTCGAGGACGGGTTGGAGAAAACGGACGACCTAGAGGTTAGCTACAATATTCCACATTTTGATAATGCCATTATTCTCAGATTCGTTCAGAATTTGTATTTCTGTGGATTTATGGCTGGGCCCAGCACACAACACTGTTTTGCTGAATACTTTGTTCATATTGAATCTTTCCCTCAAGCAGTCTTCATCGATCTTTGCAACAGCCTTTGCTATTACAAACAGGTTTTTTTTTTTTTTTTTTTTTTTTTTAAAGAAATATACAAAGTATAGCACAATACATACATGACATGAACCTAAGAACAGAACATAACAACAAAAACATAATCATAAACAGGCATAGAAGAGAACATTACATAATAAGACCCCAGAAACTCCAGGGACACAAGTCCGAATACAAATAAACATAGAAACGGACACACAACAAACGGACGCATACGGACATGGAAAGACACAACTAACATATAAAGAATAAACCAGACACACATATAAATACACAATGCACACAAGTACAGAAATAACACAAAGCATAAGCATATCACACACAAATCATATAAGTAACATAAAAACAAACCATGGCCAAGGCCCAGGCACTACTATATGACAACCCCAAGAAAAAATCCGGGGCGAACAATGAAACACGGAGATACATGTACCCTAAACAAACACACTTCCAGGAAGAACAGCAATCAAACCAACAAAATGAGTAACAAAACAGCCGTATGCAACTCACTCAAGGTACAAGCAACGGCCCACGCAGGAGCCAACATAGAAGCAAACCCACACTCACACACAACCCCACACACCAAACCGAACACACAACCACAGGAGCAACCACACACACACCCAGCACAACTCCCCCGAGGAGGCCCACCGGAGGGCCGGGGATCTAGGATGAAAACAGAAGACCACTCACCCAAAAGCAACCCCACGCACATACCAACCCGTGAACCAACCACGGAACTCGCTCGGAAACGCACGCTGCACCCACAACCACGTGAACCGCAAACGACCCCTCAAAAACCCCAAAAGCCTAGCAACCCCATAACCCTCCCTCCGACCCACCCACACACAATACACAAAGTCAGCAACAAGAAGACAAAGCGTATTACGAACACGGCGCAACCTCCGCGGAAAGGACAAAAACAAAAATCTCAAAAGGTCACCCCGACACTCAGGTCCACAAACCCCAACCAACACGTCCCGAAACCAATCAAGCAAACCCCGCAACCGCCCGCAAAAATAAAAGGCATGCAACTGCGTCTCAGGAAGACCACAGTGCACACACGCATCAGAGGCACGCAAACCCAGCATGCACAACCGTGCATTAGTCGCCAACGACAAATGCAAGAGCCGAAACAACAATTCCCGCTGTTGCGGAGCCAGAAACCGAGCCCCCAGCGCCGCCCACACATCCCCCCAATCCCAACACGGGAACAAACCCTCCACCCGCGGCGGAACACGACGAAACATAACCCGATACACCGCCTTGACCGACAAGGAAAGGAACCCCGGACAACGGCATACCTCCCGAAGAATCGCCACCGGCCAAGGGTAAACCGGGGGGGTACAGACCGCCGCCTCCCGACAATCACGAAAATCCACCAAATAGCTAAACCTAACAGAGCAATAATAAATACACAAACCATTGAGCCCCCCACCCAACTCAAACCCCTGACACAACGAGACCCAAAAGAGCGCCCGAGCCCTCGTGAACACATCAGGAATGCCCACCTCACCCTCCCGCACAGCCAACACCAACGTCGACCGGCGAACTGGGTGGTAACGACCACACCACACATAACGATAAACCTGGCGTTCCAACCCGAAAGCCAGCTTACGATCCAGGGGGAAAACCCGAGCCACGAACCAGACCCGGGACAAAACTTTGCAATTCACAAGCAACGCCCGCTGATAAAGCGTCAACGGGCGCACAGCCAGCAACCCAATCGCAACACCGACACTCCGAGAAACCATATCCCAATTGCAAGCCAAGGACATCTCATAGGAAGCGAACCAGGTAAGCCCCAAAACCCGCATAGAAGTGACAACCGGAAACCATGACCCCACCCACACAAGGCTAGAGGACCACCCACCAAGACCCATAAGACCGGATTTCGCACGATTTACCTGCGCCCCAGTGGCCAACTCAAACCTCTCAACCACAACCTGGACCGCCCCAACCGACCCCTCCGAGGCCAGGAACAGGACGGTATCATCTGCATAACCGCAGATAGGCAACCGAAGACCCGACGGCAAACGGGGGGGGGGGGGGGGACGATAAACGGGCATCCCTTGATCGCCCGAAAAAACGGCTCCTGAAAGACGATATACAGGAGCATCGAAAGCGGACAACCCTGCCGCACCGAACGACGCACAGGGAAAGAAGCACTCAAAAACCCATTTACACAGACCCGACTACAACATTGAGCGTACAACATACGCACCCAACGAACAAACAAGGGCGGAAATCCCAGCCTCCCCAACACACGAAACACAAAATCGAGTGAGACACGGTCGAAAGCCTTCGACCAATCCAGACAAAGCATCGCTGCCGACAAGCGAGAGTCGGACACGTACAAGAGCACATCTCGAAACAATGCATTGCAATGCAACAAGGAACGACCCAGAACACCACAAAACTGCTCCACAGAGACAACAGACGCAACAACACTGCGACACCGACCAGCCAAGACCTTAGACAGGATCTTTAGTCGACATTCAACAAAGTAATGGGCCGCCAGTTTGAGAATAACCGTAGATCGCCCGACTTCGGGAGAAGCCGCACAATCCCAACGCACTGAGACATAGGCAGAACACACTCCCGAAGACAAGACTGGACCACCTCCAGCAGAACATCCCCCAACACATCCCAAAAGGGGACATAGAACTCAATAGGAAGACTATCCGAACCCAGCACCTTCCCGGAACGAAACGACCGCACCACCACAAGCAGCTCCGCCAAGGAGACCTCTTTCACCAGACCAGCACACTCCGCTACCGACAACCCAGGAAGGCACCGACTCAAGAAATCCTCCGCAAGTGCGGCGTCCCCAGCCACCTCCGCATAAAGCGCAGCCAACTCCTGCCGAACATAGTGCAACACCCCACCAGTGTCCGAAACAACCGTCCCATCTGGCCGTTGCAAGGCCGTAAAAAGAACAGAGTCCCGCGCGGCCCGTACCTTACTTAAAAGAAATGGAGAAATTCGTTCCCCGTCAACCCTCTCACTTACACGAGCTCTCACACGCACACCCTCCGCCCACTCACTCCGCAACCCGCATATACGCGCCTTGCAGTCCACAATCTTATCAAAACAATCAACACCAGCATCGTACCTTACATACAACCTCGACAGCTGCGCCTGCAACAACCGCAGTAACCCAAAGCGCCCAGCAGCCTCGCTCTTAGCAACCACGTGAAAAAACAAACGACACTGCACTTTACACCACTCCCACCACTCCAAGACAGACAGAAACTCACAACGCCGGGCTCGAATCCCGACCCACCAACACCGAAACTGACGACAAACACGCGGAGAACGCAACAACCCACAGTTTAGCTTCCACCACCCCGCACCGACCCGCACCTGACTGGGTACCCCAACTCGGACCACCAGTAAACTGTGGTCGGAGAACGCAACCGGGACAGTGCGAAAATCATACACCGTACATTCCCCACCATTGACATACACCCTATCGATGCGCGAACGCACCCCACGTGCAGCAAAAGTAAACGACAACCCTCCACCAAAGAGCACGGCAGCGTCTCGGAAACCACATGAACGCACCACCTCCAGCAGCGCACCCGAGACATTCTGCGGACGAGCGCTACAACAATCCCGTGCACTCGTCACACAATTGAAGTCCCCTCCTAAAATCATGCCCCGCGTATCATGGCGCAAGAAAGGAAGAAGCCCCACCCGAAAAAACTCCTCCCTCTCCCGACGACGCGCTGCACCCGAGGGGGCGTACACCGTCAAAAACGGAATCACGACCCCCAAAAACTCCACCCGCACAAACAACACCCGCCCATCCTCGTCCAACTCCGTGTGAAGCACGGAGAAGGAGGCCTTACGAGAGAATAACATAAGGGTCCCCCCGAAAGGCGTCCTCGGCGAGTTGAGCACCACATGATAATGCACGCTTAGACACTGCAACACAGACACATCATGCACATTATGCTCCTGTATGAGAACCACATCCATACGTTGCTCCTGCAAAACATCCAACAGGCCCAACTGGACCCCAAGAGCATTCAAACCCCGAACATTCAAGGACGCACAAACTACAGAGGGCGCCATCGGGACAACCTCAGGACACCCCCAACCCGTCGCGACACACAGGCCGCACTTCATCCTGGACCCCAGGGCGATCACAGTGAACACCGCCAGTCGCCGTACCCAGCCCCACGCACGAGCCCTCTGCCGGATCCGCAGAGCCCCCACCAACCGGAATAAGGGCCGAAGACCCCCGACAGTTACTCTTAGACAACACAACCACCAGGTCCCGGTCACCGCGATGAGCCACCCACCCAGAGGTGCCACCATCAGGAGGCGCAGCTGCCGTCACTGGAGGCACCACAGAAGAAACCTCCTCAATGTCCTCGCCCGCAACCTCCATCGCAACACCGCCCTCCGCCCACAACCGACGAGGCGATGTATCCTGAGCCGAACGACGGAGCTTCACATGAGGCTGTTGATCGCCAGTACAATGACCCCCAGCAAGGGGTGCTCCAGAAGAACCCAACGCGGGCGGGCCCAAAGCCGAAGCAGCACGGACACACACAGCAGCAACCTCCACAGCATGGGGTACAGCCTACCACCACGCCCGGAGACCGGAGCAGAAGGAGCAGGTCCAGAAAGCGGGAGAGCACACTCCAGCTCACAGGGGGCATCCACCACGGACGCCGAGGCAATCGCAGCTGACGAACCACTGGACAAGGCGACCTTCGTAGACGACGCGGGAGTCGACGCAAAGTCAGAGGGCAGGGAGGAGGACACACACCCCACCACCCCAGCATCCCTGGGCAGCAGACAATCTTGTTGCTCCTGAAGCACATCGACGACAGCAACTTCCACAATCGCCCAGTCCACATCCCCTGAGAAGTCTGTCCACCCGCCGTACGCGGGACACACCACCAACCACTATACCACCAGCCGGGCCCTCCGGCCAGCGGGCGCACCACACCACAATCCACACCCGCCTCCACTCAGCATCAGGCGACAACTGGCAGGTCAAACGAGCACGTTCTGGCCCTCTGGCGGCCAGTGACCGTGCAGTGAGGACGTGTCGCCTGCTCGCTCCGGTAGTTTGAGGTGGTTGACGTTTTCGTCGGCAGGGGGTGTGGGTGTCTCTACCCTCCCTGCTGTTCCTGGTGGTGTGGACGTGGCGCTTCTACGATGGGCGGCCATCTTCCCCCTGTCGTGAGGGTAAACTCCATCGGATTGGAGTTTACTGGCCGTGCTGGATACCCGCTGGTGGACGTGGTATTGAGTGCCATGCTTCGTGTCCCGGTTGGGGACGTATATGGCATTGAGCTGGTAACTGCTCACCGTGTTGTTGTCAAGTTTGTGGGTGAGGCGGTGTATCGTGCTTTCTTACAGAGGTACGAGGGATGTACTTTGCAGCTACAGGACGGCACCGGGTCTGTGACCATTTCAGACCGTAGTGGTGCTGTGACGTATGTCAGTGTTCATGGCGCCCCCATGGAGTTTCCTGAGACTCTCCTCCGGCGATTCTTCCAGAGGTACGGCTCCGTCGTCAGTGTGCGGATGAACTCACTGTCGTCTGGCACGTATTCGGGTGTGAAGACCAACATTCGGACCCTCGGGATGCGACTGAGGTCGGACATACCGTGCTCTGTCCGGCTGTTGGGGTACTACGTGCGTGTGTTTTATGCCCGGCAACCCCGTACTTGCTTCCGGTGTGGCTTGTTGGGGCATCAGGCTGCCGGGTGTACTGCTGATCCGGTCGCTCCTGTGAACTTGTTCCGTGAGGAGGATTTCCCGCCGCTCCCTCTGGAGGAGGACTCCGGGGGTGAGGAGGTGAGCGTCCCGTTCGCTGCTGCGGCTCCCCCAGTGTCACCCGACGTTCCCCCGGTTGTTGCAGACCCTCCTCCGGGTGTTGCGGTGCCGTCGGATGTTCCTCCTGACCATGTCTCTGGCCCTGCCGTTCCCATGGACCTTCCTGGTGATCCCTGTGGAGCGTCGCCGTCGGCTTCCTCGTCTTCGGCTGTGGACCCTGGCCCTGCGTCCTCCCCTCGGGTTCCTCCTGTGCTGGGTGCTGGGGTGGCTGCGGTGCCTCCTGCTGTGTGTGGTCCGGTTCCCCCTGTGGTAGAGGCTGCTGCCGTTCTGCGACGGGCGTCGGTTCGCCCGGTTCGTGAGGCCAGTGGTTCTGGGTCCGCCTCCGGCTGTGAGGATGTGCGGCCAGTGCCCAAGCGGTCCAGGCGTTCTTCTACTGCTTGGGCTGATGCGGAGGACTACGACGCAGGTGGAGCTTCGGGGGATGATGTGGCGCCTCCGGGTGCTTCGCGTTCTACGACGCTGGTGGTGGCTGACGTCCATGTGTCTGCTGTTGAAGATGTTTGTACCTATGATTTACCTCCTGTTCTTTCTCCTGCAGAAGGTTCTCCGCAGTGGGGGGTGGTCGCTCCTACTGACGTGGATGGTGAGAGTTCTGGTGCGCGCCGAGGCATCAAGCTGGTACTGAAGAAGGATGCCAAGCGTGGGGGGTCCCGGCAGGAACAACGTCCGGTGGTTGACGCGGAGCGCTGTGAGGCGGCCGAGGAGGCTCCCAGTGCGCTGCCCATTGCCCGGCCTCGTGGGAAGGAGCCCCTCCCTCTCATCTTGGCCTCCGGGGTGGCGCATGGTGCGCAGCATCCTCTGCAGTTTGACATTATTGACCGCGTGCATCCTGTTCCGTGGTGCCCTTCTTCCATCTGGGTACAGCGGGCTCGGTGTTTTGTTGTGGGTGTGCCCGAGTTGATGCCTGATCCTCGTACTGTTAATACTGTGCCTGTTCCGGATGACATCATGTTACTGTGGGAGGCGTATTGTGTTCGGTTCCCGGCGGTGGAGTGGCCGGATAAGTATGAACAATTTGAGTAGTCTGTGTGCTTGCTGTGACCTGTGGTTTGTTTGCAATGTATTGTACCTATTGTGTGCCCTTCAGGCCGGTGTTGTGTTTTTCATGACTGTTGTTTTGTTGTATTTATTGTATTTCCGTTACCCTTCTGTCCAGTACTGTTGTTTCTTTTTCCTGTGTTTCATTGTGTTTATGTTCATTGTTGTGATTTTGTTGTAGGCCCTTCAGGCCGGTATTTAGTGTATTTGTGTTAATTTGCTTTGTGCTTTTGTATTTTTTTGTCTGATTGTTTGTTCTTGGTTTCTTATTTTATTATATTTATTGTATTGTATTTATTCGCATGTTCGCATGTAAAAATAAAAAAAAAAAAACAAAAGGTAAATCATACTAGAAGGATACACGTCTTCCGGGGCAGAAATAGCAGAAGTAATATGAGATGATGACATACACGGAAACAATTGTTATGACCCCACATACACTAAGTATGACTGGTGTATGATGTGATCATACATTAGTATAAATAAGGCAGTGTATCCTAGCCTAATGTATCTTAAATATATGATTATGCATATATTCTTATATTCTATGTATTACTGCATATAATACACTTTATATTCCTATGTACTATGTATACATTTATATGACTGATGTATTACGCCAGTAATATGTATGTATTATGATATATCCATTCCCTAATTGAGAAGTGAAATAGCCTTTTGTCACATTGCATTGATCGTGCTTAGTACTTGACATACTTGTACAGTGAGAACATATACAATGGGCAGTTTTGGGGGCTTAGGTTGTATATATTATACTTGTATTAATGTATAATGATGTATTAGAGCTTGACCGGTAAAGTTCTAGACTCCTCCCTTAACCCCCCCCCTACCCCCTTCCCTTCCCTTGCATACTGGTCAGGTAAATGATGTTAAGTATCGTAGATATGAATTCTTTGTTTCATTTCTTTACATATATATTAAGTCTTGTGTTTGATCTACTGGTCTTATCTGCTCTTGAAAGATGTGTTTGCAATTTTATATTAGTTATTTGTATGTTTATGGATTTATTGCTAGTTGTTACGACCCTTGACCTATGGGTATGGTTCCTCTGTTTTGCAGTTGTAAAAAATATATTATAATACGACCTTGCCTACTTAAAGTGTCTATGGTAAATAATTCAACTGCTTACTCAACAAAGCAATATACTTAAAGTAAAAGTAACAAAGAACATATAAATGGAAATACAGGTAGCCAGAAATATTAATGCACCAGAAACAATAACACAATATCATTATATAAGCACTGACCACTATTTTAAAACTTAAATGGATAGATGGGTATGCACATAATGGTCTAACCAGGAAATTAGTTATGCTACTAAACAATAAACAAATGCCACAGACTTATCTCCTAACATGTCCACGCCAGCCAGCTCCACCCACGAGACTGGTGTTGCTGGAGCCTGCACGGCATGCAGGTGTCTACAAGTTACCAACTAAAACCCACATGAAACCTCTAGATACACTGCTATCAAAGAGTAATATTTAACAACATAATTATAACTAAACTTATATGCCTATAACACTGCTAAGGTGTAAATAAGAAATTAAGTACAATCAATAAACAGGAATAATTACAGGGGTGAATCAGTGACGCTAGCTTGATACACTGCACGCATTACTGGAACATCCCAAATATGGTCATCCCCCCATGAGACGCCACGGTCTCTCCACAAAGGAATGAACATGCAATAACATTAACACAATATTAAATACAGCACACTACAGCATGCTACATTTAAATCAAACATATATATACTGGAACACAACTGGATACAATGTTTTATTTAAATAACTGAGGAAAGAAATAATGGACATACATGTTTATCATGATAAATGTTAGAATCAAGTATATGGATTCGTAACACCAAAATCTCCTCAAATCTAGAATGACAAAGGGTAGGATTAAACAAGTATACAGTTATACGGTTCTCAAGGGTGACTGTGTCCTGTACCACACATAACACTGGTCTGGAGCCTTGAAATGCTTTCAACGTGTTAATGTGCACTACTAAAACTTTGGAAGGGTCCTACAGACTTTTAATTTTATAAGTTAACTCAGAGCGTCTGCAAAGAACTTCAAAATGACCTTCAAAATAATGAGCTAAAGCAGCTTCCACTCTGGATTTCAACACAAGAACAAGATCACCTGGCCGGAAACATCTTAACTTCACCTTGAACTTCTTGTCATGGTGTTGTTTCATCATAAGCTGCGACTTCTTCAGATGCTCACTCGCCACGTCCTGGTACTTCTTCAACTTGGACTGGATCTCACTCAAAAACCGACTTCCATCAGGGAGAGAAACGTTTCCTATCATCCTCTCACGCAGCAACTGGATTGGGCCTCTCACTTGATGTCCGAAAACTAATTGGAAAGGTGAACATCCCAACGAATGCTGTAACCCATTTCGAGCTGCAAATAATATATCGGGTAAATCCTCATCCCAATTTCGTCTGGAGTGTTCGCCAACAGTCCGTAACATCTGCTTCATGGTCTGGTGAAATCTCTTCAGGACATCTTGACTCTGTGGATGATAAGTACTGGACACACGATGTTCTATATTGTACTTCACACAAAATCGTTTGAACTCTCCAGAACGGAAGTTACTACCGTTGTCTGACTGGATCACTCGAGGAAGTCCACAGTACAAAACTTTATCACATGATGGATGACTGTCTTTGTTCTAATATTACATACAGGGTAAGACTATGGGAACTTGGATGTGGCGCACAATAAGGTTACCAAAAATACATGACCTGACTTGGTCCGAATAAAAGGGCCTA